TGTAACTCAATGATCTTTGAGGTCCCTTCCAACTTAAACCATTCTATGATTCTAACAATCGGACCAGGACCTAACTGAGGGGCAGAGGAGATGAGAGGATGGTTGACTTACAAAGAAATGCTCAGCTCACTGGGCACTTGCCTGTTTTCAGATGCAGTTCCATCATAAAATTAGAACTGCAGGGATTTAAAAAAAACAAATTCCCTCCAATGTCCTACAGAAGAAACAAACTGAATTTTCCTCTTCACTGGGAAGAGCTATGCCAAGATCAAGGGTGCAACTGTTTGAGAAGTCCATGGAAGTTACTGAATTGACGCTGTCAAATTGCTCCGTCGCTGAAGGCCTTTGACACGGAGTGAATGAAATATTTGTTCCCAGCCCAGGACTACTGACTTGCATAGTAATCACGGAGCCAACCTAAATGATCGCGTAATTAATCATGGAGGAAGGTTTTTTGCAGGAAGAAGGTTGACACAATGGAAGCAGGGCTGGTTCTGCCCATCTGGGCTGCCAGAAGGTGGCTGGAGCAGGGGAAAAGCTGCCAGTAGGAAAGGCAACCCAGGGTAAATTGTGCAAAAAGTTGTTGTTTTTTTTTTTAAAATATTGGGTGAGTTGGTGTGGGGACCATGGGGAAGATGCTGAAGGAAGCGAGTCCAAGTCCTGGAGAGGGACCTTGGTTTTTGAGGGCTCCACTCCAAGGGTGGCAAAGCCCAGGAGGTGGACCATAGCCCTGGTTGCCCTCTCTGTGCTGGTTTGTGCACCTCCTGCAGATTTTTTTTGTGACTCAGATAAAAAAACACTTGCAAAATCCAGTGTTAAGTTTCTCCTCATATTTGAGTGGAGCCTCTTATGTTCCAACATAACATGCTGAAGGAGGCAAGTCCAAGTCCTGGAGGTGGACCTTGGTTTTTGAGGGCTCCACTCCAAGGGTGGCAAAGCCCAGGAGGTGGACCATAGCCCTAGTTGCCTTCTCTGTGCTGGTTTGTGCACTTTTTGCAAATATTTTTTGTAACTCAGGTAAAAAAACACTTGCAAAATCCAGTGTCTTAGTATTGATATTTTTTCCTGAATAAATCTCACAGATCATATCATCCGCTACCCTCAGTTCACACAGCACCAAAACCAAATCTCTGTATTTCAAAATACAGTTTAGATTCCAAATATTTTTAGCAAAACCCGTACTCCTCAAAACAGATTAGGAGAAAGCGATTTCCACCCTTCATCGAAACAGCCAGATACCAAAAAACGTGAAAGAAACTTCCACAAAAGGAACAACAAGTTCTTCAACTCATCTCACGGCACCACAGACTTTGATGAGAGCCAGTCCAACACTCATCTGCAAAGCGACTGTTAGGAGATACTCAAGTGTCTCTTCCCAGAACCCAGCTACGATTCCTCAAGGGAATTTCACATTGTTCAGGTGTCCTAGAGCTTCAAGGTTTGCAATTCCCTGCTTGGGAGCTTACAAACTCATTTATAAACTAATAGAAATGACGCAGATCCGGGACAAATGCTCTAGTTTCCTTCTCCATTTAAAGTTCTCTTTGTTATTTTAAATAATGATTTTCTGAAGACATCCAAACCAAGGCTGACACAGGATGAGAAAGCCTCAACTTGCTCCTGTCATCTCACAAAGACAGTTTAAATCTACTTCTTAACAGGCATTTCTAATCCTCCAAGCTTTTTCAGGCTAATTCTCCCGGCCAACACGGTGCCTGGTCTCCAAGATTATATTCATTCTTTATCTGGTTGAAGAAGAGTGGTCAGGGAACGGCCTATCAGACAATGAGGCTTCTTGCTATTTCAGCAATACCTTATGGGAGGAAAGTTCTTGAAATTTTCTGAACAAAGTCTAATTCTCCCCTTGTGCTGGGCTCTGGGAACTCAGTTTGGGGTTTTCAGTTCCTGCTGCAGAGAGAACATCCAGGCGCATGTGAGGGTGGGAGGGAGGGAGCAAACACAGCACAGATGGCTGGCAATATTTTTATAGAATGATAGAATTGTCTGGGTTGGAAGGGACCTTTCAGATCATCGAGTCCAACCATCAACCTAACTCTGATAAAAACCATCACTAACGCATGTCTCCAAGCACTGTGTCAACCCGGCTTGGAAATACCTCCAGCGCTGGCGCCTCAACCACTGCCCTGGGCAGCCCATTCCAATGCTTAGTAACTAATAATATATTAATTAATAACTAATGCTTATCTGCCCTCCCTGTAAATTGCCAAATGATGTTCTTCTTTAGAGGAGAAAATATCCTCCCATTTTTCCCACTTACCTCCTTTAGATAAAGGTCCATCCAACGGGTAGGGCCGGGGAGCAGCTGAAACTGTGGCTGAGGAACTCATGGTGGGTCTTGTGCCATCTCCAGCAGCTTTCCCTTTTTTGAGAAAGGGCAGGAAAGTATTTATCATTTATACCACCTGGACTGTGCAGTTTGCTGGCTCCTTCCCATCCTTCTTACCTCTTCAGACTTCAACCTGCACTGCCAAAGACCAAACATTTTCTGCTTAAACATTACATAAAGGGAAAACATGATCCAGGAGAAATCTCGAAGAGCTTTGTTGGGGTGGGTGGGTGTGAACAATGCTGCCAGCAACCTCCAATTTATTTAGATTTTATTTTTACTTCCCCCCCACACACACACTTTTTAAAACATGTGACATTAATAAAACCAAAGCTGCAATCTGATTAATTTTTTTGGTGCTAATAAGCCTTGCAATCTAGGTTATTTTTGGTTTTTTCTTAAAGGAGAAAAACCTATTTTATCAGCAGTAGCAGAAAAGCGCTGTGCTGTGGACTGGGGTGTGACTATTAATTAACAAGCAGACACTTCAAGTGAGTATTTCTTCTTTTGAACATCCTTGCGAACATCGACAAGTGGGATGAATTCCCTTACACCATAGAAGCAAAAAAGAATCCCTGCAGCTGTGTTCCAGCCTGGACATTCAAAAGAGCCAATAGGAAAAGCAGGGAATCGGTCACATAAATAACGAATTACGACATCTTTGGGTGCTCTCTCGATGTTCTGCTGGAGGGAACACAACATGCCTTTCGAAAACGAACGTTTTGGTACTTTTTTTCTGGTTATTTCTGGGTTGGTGGAGTTCCTTGCTGTTGTGGAAACACTTGGCTCCCTTTGTCATTGGACAGTAGGTCGAGGGAGGTCATTCTCCCTCTCTACTCTGCGCTGGTGAGGCCATAACTAGAATATTGCATCCAGTTCTGGGCTCCCCAGTTCAAGAGGGACAGGGAACTACTGGAGAGAGTCCAGCGTAGGGCAACAAAGATAATTAAGGGACTGGAACATCTCCCTTATGAGGAAAGGCTCAAGGAGCTGGGACAAGCAAAGACTGAGGGGAGACCTTATTTATAAGTATCTAAAGGGTGAGTTGAAGGATGTTGGAGCTGGACTCTTTTCAGTGGTTTCCAGCAATAGGACAAGGGGCAACGGGCTCAAGCTGGAACATAGAAAGTTCCATTCAAATATTAAAAAAAACGGGCACAAGCTGGAACAATGGGAAATTCCATTCAAATATTTAAAAAAACCTTCTTTATGGTGAGGGTGACAGAGCCCTGGAAGAGGCTGCCCAGGGAGGTCGTGGAGTTCCCTTCTCTGGAGTTCTTCAAGACCCGCCTGGATGCCGTCCTGAGTGATGTGCTCTGGGCAACCCTGCTTTGGCAGGGGAGTTGGACGAGATGATCTCTAGAAGGTCCCTTCCAACTCTGACAATTCCATGATTCCATGAATAAGGGGGGCTGGATGAGATGATCCCATATAATTCTGTGCATACATTCAGGACACACAGAGAGCTAAACAAATACCTTTTTACCTGCAGCTGGAACATAGAAAGTTCCATTCAAATATTAAAAAAAACCTTCTTTACGGTGAAGGTGACAGAGCCCTGGAAGAGGCTGCCCAGGGAAGGTGTGGAGTCCCCTTCTCTGGAGATCTTCAAGACCCACCTGGATGCAGTCCTGAGTAATGTGCTCTGGGCAACCCTGCTTTAGCAGGGGGGTTGGACCAGATGATCTCTAGAGGTCCCTTCCAACTCTGATAATTCCATGATTCCGTGAATAAGGGGGGCTGGATGAGATGATCCCATATAATTCTGTAAATACATTCAGGACACACAAAGAACTAAACAAATACCTTGTTACCTGCAGTTCTTCAGCCACAGAAACTTCTGCAGCTTCAGGGGCACCATCGGAGACACACAGAAGGACAAAGGTGCCTGAAAGCTGGTCGCTTGCAGGTATTTATTTTTGCAGCAGCATCTAGAATGGCTCTGCAGGTGGGCACCTCATCAGAGAGTAATTACTCCTCACTCCACAACAGCTCTGGGGGAGAGATTTGGACTTAATTGCAAACCGAAAGGGAAGGCCTCATGCCCTGCACTTAAGCGCCACTTTGCGCCGTGGGGATCCTTAGGAAGGGAAAGTCATCAAACCGTGGTGTCCAGCAGCGAGGAGATCCCTGCTCTTTCCCCTCTGGCGAACCTTCTGCTCCTGAAAACACCAAACGGGTCCCCACCAGAAGAGCCAAGCAAGTTGTCGCTTCTAATTGTGACACCCAGGGACACAACCAGCCCTCGAAACGTCCCCCACCAGCCATCAACCATGAGGAGGTCTGATCTTTCAAACTTCACCGACAGACCATGTCGTTATCTCCCTCCCTCCACCTCTTGACCCCTTATTTCCCAAGATTAACATTCATTTATTTATTTATTTCCCATGGTTTCAAACTACTTTGGCTGCCCAAAATCCTCTGCGTGGACCCTCACGTACCTCTGCGTGGGGGTGACTTTGGAAGGCTCTTCAGCACCGAGTTCATTTGGGGATCTTGTACATCCTGTTGATTATCAAGAGCAATTTCCAAGGTGTGGGGGGAGCTGCAGGAGGACAATAAAAAAAGGGGTGGGGGGAGAAAGTCTTTAAAAAGCTGCCTGTCCCTGTGATTTTCAGCTCTTTGAAAAAATCAAGAGAGACCAGAAAAGCCCCCTCCCCACCAAGAGTGTGGTTGAGATAACTACAAAGGAACTATTCTCACCAGGTTCCTTCAGGAAAACGAAGGGTGCTCTGATTGTGGTTTTTTTTTTGGGCCTTGCTAATCTGACAGATATAGATGGGTAATTCGGAACAGCCAAAATCTTTGTTCTAAAAAACACTGACTCATACATGTTCCATCCAGATGTTTCGCTGGGTCCTTAACAGACACCAAAACTTTCCTTAAATACTTTTATACAGTTAAGAGCGTACACACCTAAGGGAGGACCTCCAGTAAGAGCAACTTAAAAAGGAGTATTTATGCCTCCCAACATGGAGGCTCTAAATACAACCCCATCCCACCCCCAACGCTTTGTTTCTGCCTAATCAAGCTTGAAAATTAATAGCACCAAGGTTCTTAATGAGCAATTAGGGCCTCACAGGCTGGTCTCTCCCAACAGGTACAGCTGGGTCCTTAACAGACACCAAAACTTTCCCTAAATACTTAGAAATTGCCTTTTATACAGTTAAGAGCGTACACACCTAAGGGAGGACCTCCAGTAAGAGCAACTTAAAAAGGAGTATTTATGCCTCCCAACATGGAGGCTCTAAATACAACCCCATCCCACCCCCAACGCTTTGTTTCTGCCTAATCAAGCTTGAAAATTAATAGCACCAAGGTTCTTAATGAGCAATTAGGGCCTCACAGGCTGGTCTCTCCCAACAGGTACAGGAGTTTGGGTGTAAACACTCCAGTGCAGCGGGGGTTTGGGAAATGTAACTCACAGAATCTCTCAGTTGTTGGATGTTGTTGCCCTCACCCGTCTGATCCTCACCTGCTCCTGGAGGGATGAAGCTTTGTGTCCCAGCTCTTCTGCTTTGCAGCCCCTGCTGGATAAACTCAGTAGTCCCAGCTCTTCTGCTTTGCAGCCCCTGCTGGATAAACTCAGGAAGGATCATAGAATGGTTTGGATTGGAAGGGACCTTAAAGATCATCCAGTTCCAACCCCCTGCCCTGGGCAGGGACACCTCCCACCAGACCAGGTTGCTCCAAGCCCCATCCAGCCTGGTCTTGAACCCCTCCAGGGATGGGGCAGCCACAGCTTCCCTGGGCAACCTCTTCCAGTGTCTCACCACCCTCACAGATAAGAATTTCTCTCTCATATCTCATCTAACTCTCTCCTCTTTCAGTTTAAAACCATTCCCCCTCCTCCTATTGCTCCCCTCCCTGATCCAGAGTCCCTCCCCATCTCTCCTGTAGCCCCTTTAAGGACTGGAAGGGGCTCTAAGGTCTCCCCAGAGCCTTCTCTTCTCCAGGCTGAACCACCCCAACTCTCTCAGCCCATCAAGGAGGGTGTTCATTCCTCTACAAGCTCAACAGACCATCAGTAAACACACCATTCCACCCCAAGATGAGCGATATTCTTCAACTTGATAGGCCTTTTAGTAGAGAACCCTCCCAGCAGACAGACAGACAGACACATTGCAATGCACACAGAATGTGACACGTACCGCGCACAGAAAGGATTCCTGATCTGCCAGGAGCCAGAACTGAAGATCTGCTGCTGAAGGGTCTGGTGAGGCCCCACCTCGAGGGCTGTGTCCAGTTTTGGGGCCCTCACTACAAGAAAGACATTGAGGGGCTGGAGCGGGTCCAGAGAAGGGCAACGGAGCTGGTGAGGGGTCTGGAGCACAAGTCTGGTGAGGAGCGGCTGAGGGAGCTGGGGGTGTTCAGCCTGGAGAAAAGGAGGCTGAGGGGAGACCTTCTCGCTCTCTCCAACTCCCTGAAAGGAGGGTGTAGCCAGGGGGGGTCGGTCTCTCCTCCCAAGGAACAGGCCATGGCACAAGAGGAAACAGCCTCAAGTTGAGGCAGGGGAGGTTCAGATTGGATATTAGGAAAAAGTTCTTCCCCAAAAAGTTAGGGGCCCAAAGTGCATCTGATGGTTTTTGGGGACGGTGAATGGATCCCAGCCTCACTCACACCACAACAGCAGCCACAGGAGTCAGGATCCCAACACACAGGAGTCCCTACGGCAACATACACAAAAATTAAATTCCCATTTGAATCTCAGAGACGTTTTCCATCTTCCACAGAACACAATCGTGCAGTTTCACAGGAGCTGTTTTTCCTTCACTGCTTTTGGGAATGCAAATGCAGCGGCACAAACCTCCTCCTCAAATGCATTCCCATCCCTCAAAACTTCACGCTGTGCCCAAGGGGAGCTCGTCTGCCCCACAGAGATTTCACAGAATCACAGAATGGTGTGGGCTTGGAAGGGACCTCTGGAGATCATCTCGTCCAACCCCCTGCCAAATCAGGTCCACCCAGAGTAGGTCCCACAGGAACGTGGTTTGAAACGTCTCCAGGGATGAAGACTCCACCACCTCCCTGGACAGCCTCTTCCAGGGCTCTGCCACCCTCACAGGAAAGAAGTTCCTCCTCATGTTTAGGTGGAACTTCTTACATTCAAGTTTGTGCCCGTTCCCTCTTGTCCTGTCCCTGGGCACCACTGAAAAAAGCCTGGCCCCATCCTCCTGACACCCACCCTTGCAGTATTTATAGGCGTTGATCAGATGCTCCCTCAGCCTTCTCTTCTCCAGACTAAAAAGACAGATTTTAAAGCAGATTTTCCTCCTCCTCCAGGAGTGAGCTTTCATTAACCTTGTGAAGGGCAGCCCAGGAAGAGAGGTCCCTCTGGGACGAAGAGCCACCACAGCTGAAGTTCTCTGGAGTCATTCAGAGAAGTTTCAACCATTTCCAGAAAAGCCAAAATGACAGCTCTGCTCATAAAGACAGATTCTGAAAATAAAAAAAGAACTAGTAGAAAAACATCATACTCTTTAAAAGACCTTTATTTTGGCTGCACAGTTACAATTTTGAAGTCTATTTATGCTTTACAGTTAGATCGTTCCCAAATAATACTTCATAGCTCACGAGGTAAACAGTGCTTTCTCTATCAGTCTGGTGTACAAGAACTCTATAAAATACAGATTAAGTGACTTTTTCATCTGTACACTTTTCGGATTAGTTCACCAAGATCAATTAAAAAGGCAAATAGATTAATTGGCAAAAAAAAGGTGCTGTTACATATTTTTTTTTTAATATATTAGTACAAAATGGCACAAAAGGAAAAAAGGTCATTTTAAAGGCGATAAGCATCGAACCTCTTCAACAGTTTGAATCAGTTCAACCGATTTCAACTGGATCTCAAATACCCACTGTTGAACTTGGAATTTCACTTGTAAAATCTTCTTTTTCCCTGGCTGTAGGAGAGACCTCACGTACAGCTTTGGATCTGTTCATGGAAACTGAATCACAGCAGTTTCGGAACAGAGACATTCAAGTGCAGTTAGGAAGTTGGGAATTAATTCTTCTTCCCAGTAAATTTCAGAATTCACAGAGTAGAGCTTATTTTCATCCAGCCAAGCTCATCGACGCACGTTTGGGACTCAAAAGATACCAGACGTGTGCACATAAAACACAGTATTTCTTAATGCAAGAACTGAAAACAAACAGAAATCCACGTTAATTACGTCATCCACCCAAATTACCTTTGGCAGGAGCCTTCCAGGCGTAACCGGACTCAACGCCAGGTACAGAGATACACGAAGCATTAAAAGATTTCAGGCGAACCGAAGGCTTGATTCAAAAGCTTCAGGTTTTTTTTAAAAGTAACTTCAGCAACCTACGTTTCATTTCTGAACCACCCATCTCAAATGGGCAGGCGGGTGGGATGGAAGGGAAAGAGACACCAAAAACATTTCTAACTTCAAAAAAATAAACGCTGAGATGGGAATCTGTCGCCTCAAGCAACAATTCAGGAGTTCGTTTTGGCAGCAACGTTTAGCAATATCCCAAAAGATAATTACCCACCCCTTCCAAAACAAATTATCTGGATTTTGATTAGCGCCCCCCCCAAACCTTAAGAGGTTTTTACGTTTAAGTTGACAGAACAGTTTATTATTTAAACTGTTTATTTTCTGGTAAGACAGCGCTCACATCCAAGAGGGCGGGCGGTTACACTGGTGGTAGTACTGAGAATGGTACTTCTCAGGTTAAAACAAAAAAAGTCTTCTAAAAAATAAAAATAAGTGTGATGAAGTACAGAAGGGTTATTTGACTCAGCTTCACAATGAGCAAACCATGACCAGGAATTTCCTTCCATAATTTAAATACCAGTGACAACGCTTTCTCCAGAGGCTTATTTGCTGAGTAACCATATGACGATTCCAAGGAGAGATAACCCAACAACAAGGATAACAATGAGGATGCACATCTTCTTTCGGGACCTTTGCTGCCAAGAGAGAAAAAACAACCCAAGTTACTTGAAAACTGCACCATCAGGACCAGAAGACTATTCACAGAATCACAGAATGACATGGGGTTGGAAGGGACCTCTGGAGATCATCCAGTCCAACCCCCTGCCAAAGCAGGTCCACCTACAGCAGGTTGCACAGGAACGTGTCCAGGTGGGTTTGAATGTCTCCAGAGAAGGAGACTCCACCACCTCTCTGGGCAGCCTCTTCCAGGGCTCTGCCACCCTCAAAGTGAAGAAGTTCCTCCTCATGTTTAGATGGAACTTCTTATGTTCAAGTTTGTGCCCATTTCCTCTTGTCCTGTCCCTGGGCACCACTGAAAAAAGACTGGCCCCATCCTCCTGACACCCACCCTTTCAGTATTTATAGGTTTTCAAATAGGCCAGCTCTGCCAGGTGTGCCACCTCTGCTGCAAGACCTGCTGAACACAAGCTTGTCAAAAGTCTTGATGACCTTCTTTTGAAATCAGAATCATTGAATGGTTTGGGTTGGAAGGGACCTTAAAGATCATCCAGTTCCAACCCCCCTGCCCTGGGCAGGGACACCTCCCACCAGACCAGGTTGCTCCAAGCCCCATCCAGCCTGGCCTTGAACCCCTCCAGGGATGGGGCAGCCACAGCTTCTCTGGGCAACCACCCTCACAGTCAGGAATTTCTTCCTGACATCTCATCTAAATCTCCCCTCTTTCAACCTTTTCTCCTCAAGATAAAGCACAAAATTTTTCATTTTGCATTTCAAGCAGAAAACTAAGGTCTTCCACATAAAATTTTGCCTGCTACTCTTTCCCGTTCCTGACCCTGAACTTAGTTGGTATCATAAATCTGGTATCAACCATATATAACGTGCCAGTTGGTGTCACATAGAATCCAGCTCACCTAGAATCCATCCCTTTCCCTCTCTCACTTCTGAAAATAACAGGCAATCCTTCAGACATTTTGTCATTGATTTACTGTCCTGGCTACTACTAACACATATAAGAGGATTAAAAAAAAAAAAAAAGTGAAAAAAAAATCTAAGGACTAACTCCAGCTCTGATTTAAGAGGGAAGATTTATTACTAATAAGATTATTTTTAGTAAGTTTCAAATTGTTATAAAGAACTAGCATTTATAGGTATTTTAAAAAGGCTTTTCAAAAAAAAGTTTGAGAGTTTGAAATATGTTTTTAACATCAAGGTAGCAATTACCAGAAGCTGGATATATCCAGCTTTGAGAAGATTTTAGACAGCAAGAATTCATGCTAACAGACAGCATCTTCCAAAGACTTCCCTGCTCTGTCTTCCCTTCTCCTCCAGGGACCTTTAGAAGCTTGCTCTAAAGAAGTGTTGCCAAAGAAGAGCTGTCAAAGGAGGGGTTGGATTTTTTAGGGTTATTTTGTTTTGTTTTTAAACAAAGGTATAACTCCAGGTGCTCTGAAACAGCCTGGCTAATTTTACAGGAAACCCAGAGTTTTCAGAGCTCACTGACTTTTAGAAATACCATCAGAGTCTAACACAAACCCTTAGGTAATTCTCCAAGCTTTAAGGAAATCTGTGAGCAAAATCTGAACTTTGTAAGAAAGTAGAAATCAGGACTGAGAAAGGGCAGTTACAGACAACGGGCAGTTGGCACTGACTATGAGGAGAGACTGAGAGAGCTGGGACTCTTTAGTCTGGAGAAGAGAAGGCTGAGGGGAGACCTTATCAACGCCTACAAGTATCTCAAGGGAGGGTTGAAGGAGGAGGGAGCCAGACTCTTTTCAGTGGTTCCCACTGAGAGGACGAGGGGCAACGGGCACAAGTTGGAACATAAGAGGTTCCACTCAAATATGAGGAGAAACTTCTTCACGGTGAGGGTGACAGAGCCCTGGAACAGGCTGCCCAGGGAGGGTGTGGAGTCCCCTTCCTTGGAGATTTTCAAGACCCGCCTGGATGCTCCTGAGTAACATGCTCTGACAAGCTCT